GCCTAGAACGACGCCCAGCTCACACCAGGCATTCACAATTAGTAAGAGGGCTGCCATGGGAATAGGATGCCAGGAGCGAGTGTGGGAAGGAAAATAAGCTGCCCTATTTTCAAGGGACATCAATATAAAATCCTTACCCCTGGTCACTGGATCTGGCAACCCTATGGTCTTCCCCCTGAGACTGGACTAGGATCTACAGGTGGCAGATTTATTTTGCACTGAGGGTTTTTAAATCACATCTACGCTGGTAGATCAGAAAACTTAAGCAAAACCAAAGAAAGCCCCAAACCCAGAGCACCAGTGTCCAGGCCAGACAGTGGCGCCACCTGGTGACGAGCTTGGTTCAGAGCAGGCCTGTCTCAGCAGGGGAAGGGAGAACCCTGTCTGTCTACTCAAGGCTGAGAGTCCTTCCTATTTGCATTCAGAGTGCATCTTGAGCTGGGAAGGATGTCGGTGATCTCAGCAAGCTTTCTGAGCGCCTGACTCATCTTTATACCCACTGAGGACCTGGCACACTGAAGGGAAATGTTTGATGAAATGGGAAAACTGAATTCAGCTCCACCATTTTCTGAGAAATCTCAGAAATCTCATAGTCACATTCTGGGGAAGTCCCAGAAACTACACCACTGCCTTCCTGACCCCAACGCTGGAGACCTTAATGAGCCAAAACCCAGAGCTGGGTGGCACGGGCTCTGGTACCGTAACTCAGGAGGGACATTCTTGGAGCCTGAGGAAGGCAGACTTCTTTCTAGAGCTGCCAGTGAGAGAAGGTGGCCCAGAACACAACGACATATAAAATCCCACCACACACCGCACATATTTGATAGCAGAGATGAGACCAAGAAATTAAAGCAACTTAAACAATATCATTCGGCATGGCTGTTGGGGCCACGCTCAGACCCACGCTTTCTCCCTGACATCCCCTAGGTACCCCTAACCCACGGCTCATACATCACTGTATAGAGGTCCTGACCAGCATCTGCTGCACCCAAACCATTCTGCACCTGCACCGCAGGAAGTGAGAACTGTGTCCCCGGGCTGATAGCATCACCTCCCCCCAAGGCAGTTCTTACCTCATCTGTGGCAGGTGCTGCCACCTCACATGGCAGCTCCTGTTCTTGGGCCATCAATGCCAGGAGCTTTCGGATCAGAACCACATCCTTCATGACAGCCTGCAAGTTGACCGTCTGGCCATTGGTAAACATCTGGTCCCCCAGGCGACTGACGGGGCGATACCTGCAGGACATGAAGAATCAGCGAACGTTTAGCACAGAGGATGGTGTTCCTCAGCCTCTCACCCACCGCAGCTATAAGCAGCTCACAGCCCACCACACTCAAAAAGAAACCCACATTGCGATCGCATTCAGGAAAAACGGAGAGGAGATACTCCTATCACCTGCAACCTGGGACTGGAACTGCCGCTTAAGTTCTCGGCGCCCTTGACCTTTCCGCCCTCACCCAGAAGTCATTATTCAGCTATTCCATAGACCTTCTGCAGGTGAAGCAAAGCCAAAGAAGGACGTTACCTTGACGGTGGCACCACCAAGAAATCCAGGAAGAACATACTGGGGTTGAACCTGGATTCCACAGCAACATCTTCCAGTCCCAAAAAGAGGTAGTTCAGAAAGAATCCTGTGTTTGAAATAAACCGAAAAGATCATTTAAGTCTATATGTAAGGGCGTGGAAGGATGACCACAAACATTTTACCTAGTGGGGGAAAAAAATACAGGACAATATGTAGAAAAAGATCACATTTTTCTTTATTAAAAACTGATGAGCAAAAAACAGTCCCTGGGCGTTATGAGCCTGCGCACAGGCTAAGGGCAGGGACTACAGGGGTGACAGTGCTAAGCCCGGGGGCTGAGATGGGCCAGGATGGGAAACAAAACCTTTCACAGCTCTGGTTACCTTCCCGAACTATCAGACTTACTTACACACACACACACACACACACACTCATTACTTTGGTATTTATAAAAAATGTATTTGAAATGAAGTTGACCAAACCAAAAGCAAGTTCGCTTTCTTAAGAATAGAACAAAACAAAATAAAAAAACCCTCCACATAGATGCTACCAAGAAGGGATCGTCTATGGTTCAAAGCTGTATTTTAAGTTTCTGGTGACTTAAAAAAAAAAAAAAAGCTACAGAGACACGTGTCAGGACCTGCCACAGCAGCACTCATACTAACCGGCTGCCCTTTTTTTTCCTGTGACATTACTTATCCCTTTAGCAACGTCTTCATTTTTCAGTGCTTGTCATTACACACGGCGGCTACGGTTCAATGTTCCAGAACACACTCTAAGGGGGGGGGGGTGACATGGGAGCTTGACTATACCACATAGTTTTTCTTACATGAACTCAAAAACTGAAAAAGACCTTCCCTTCTATAGGGAATTAAAATGTTTAAAAATCCTCATTTAAAAAAAGAGACGTATTAAAGAGTTCATTTTCTGATTCACAGGCGGAATTCCCACAGAAACTCTTAAAAAAAATAAACTTTCATTTACGGGCACTGAAAATTAGATGAGTTACACTGAATCTTCTAGTCGTATGTCAGACTGTATTAAGCGACGTCCACCCGCAGCTGTCGTTTTAATGACCAGACTCAGTTATAGTCACTGTCAAGCTCACACACATTTCAAGGTATAATGACCTTCCCCACACGGTAATGCGCCAAGGACAACGCACCCTGAAGCCTGCTCCAAACCAGCGGCTCAGTTTCAGCAGAGATCTACAACCACCGCAACTTGGGAAAAATTAAACTAGTAGGGCAGGGTAAGTGAGCCCAAGAAATTCAAGTCGGGAAATGATAAAGGGCTACTTCTTTAGGCTGGAACAGCACCTTCATTCTTCCAAAGGGCGATGAGATGTTCTTGAGCGCTGCTGGGTGTCAGGTATCCTCGTTTTCCCAAGTGAGCTTCCTCAATTCCTGG